AAGAAAAGTGGAAATATATTTTAATTTGCATACGTCTGAGTGAGTAACAAATTTGTATAATCTGGCCTCTTACAATAGCGGTCTCACGCTTCGCATATCCGCGACTGTATAGCGACGATCTCGGCAGGAAAAAAAATTAAGAAAGAAAATGGAAGCCAAATTTCGTTATTTTACAGCATAAAGAAAAGCGAAAAGCGAAAATAAAATTTCATTTTCATTTTCCTACACAACTGATGATCGGTTGGCACTAAGGCACACAAATTCTTTGACTCGGTCACACATGTGCTGACTGCGACGAGTATTACTCCGAAACTCCCTCGAAGAAAAGTCGAATTATATTTCATTTTTTATACATCTGACTGCGACGAGTATTACTCGAAACTCCTTCGAAGAAAAGTCGAGATATATTCAATTTGCATGCATCTAAGTGAGTGACAAATTTGCATATTCTAGCCCCTGACAATAGCCGTCCACGCTTCGCATATCCGTGACTTTAGCGACGATCTTCTTCTTTAAACGCTGAGAGATCTTACGGAAAGTATTGTTCATTTCCAAAGACGATTATTCTTCAAAGGTTTACCACTGTTTAGATTTAAATATCAAGGAAAATCAAATTGTAAGTTAATTCAAATTTTTGTATTTGTGTCTTCAGGTTTATTTTTTTGTTTTTTTTTGTTTTTGTTTTTTTCTGCAGTGGCGTGTATTAATCTTCTCTTTCTTCCACTGAAAAAAACTGAAGTCAAATAGCACGCCTCTTCTAGCTAGACACAAGGGAATTAATCGTGACTTTCACTCATCGAATTTCTTCGGTTTCAATTATGAGATTTATGGTAGAAATGTCCAAATTCAAGGGATTTGCAAAGAAAATGAGAAAGCGAAAGCGATTTTATAGAAATATCAAAGCCTCGCTCAACGTTTTACAAATTAGCGGATTGTTTTTGAGACTTCAAATTTTAAATGTATGAGAGTCGCATTGATAAATGTTATTGTTAACTGAAAAATATCTGTCGTTTTAACTTCTGAGTTACTTGTTGAGAAGGATTAATAATTTACAAATGGTTTTGAGGCCACATGTCAATCTTTTTAAAAACAAATTTAATATATACATCCAAAATTTATTTCAAAATCAATTTTTGGGCAAAAACCTAACTTCAAGTTCAGAGAGAGAAGAGAAAATTGTTAATATTCTACGCCAAAAGGTCATGACCGAAGTTTTTGCTTCAAAATACTGTCCGGCCAGCCAAACAAGGTGTATTAATGAAAAACTGCAAAGAAGATAGAGATGTTCTGCGAAGCGTCTTAACACGAAAAGGATACCGCCCGCTGAGAGCGGACCGGATGAGAAAATATTGCCTTCTCTCGCAACTGATCAATCCGATTCTGTCGCAGGATTTGTAGAATACCAGCTATTCAAGATTAGAAATATAGCTAAATACATTGTTTTCTCCCCACAAATAGCTTATGAACTAATCGAGGCGGGGAGATCTAAGGACAGTTTACAAGTGCAGGATTTATCTATACGTGAACTAACAATG